CCACTGTATCACTGCTGGGCTGACCATGGCCTTCCTCGTGGCAGGTACAGCCCCGACTCCAGGGTTGTGCGCTTTGTGAAAGCCAAGAGCATTGGGCTGCGGCTGGCTGGCGGGAATGACGTGGGCATCTTTGTGTCAGGCGTGCAAGAGGGGAGCCCGGCCGACAGCCAGGGCATACAAGAAGGGGACCAGATCCTGCAGGTACCTGCGCCTGGGAAGGGGTCTGAATGCTGCTGCACCTGGGCTGCCCAGTAAAGACCTGCCCCAGCCCTCTTGGATCTGATAACCCCCTGTGGTTTGGATTTCTCCTAGCGGGCATCTTTTTAGGTCATCACTGGGGCCCGCAGCCTGTACTAGCTGGCTGGACCCTTGGGCTGGACCTGGCACCATGCTAACACCCAATGGAGTCCAGGTGCCACCTAGCCTGGCCCTACCTGTGCCCAGAGCATCCTGTCCTTGCCAAGGGCAGCCAGCTTGAGTGACAGGGACCAGTTCCCCACCTCTGCAGCAGGGTGACATGGGAGCAGTTCCCAGGTCCCCCTCTCCCACGCTGCCCTGGGGGTACCTGGGCACTGCCATCCCCAGGACCCCTACCCAGGGCACGCGCCACCCGTCCTGCTGTCTGAGCGCTTCCCTCCATGGCAGGTGAACGACACTAGTTTCCAGAACCTGACCCGCGAGGAGGCCGTGCAGTACCTCATGAGCCTGCCGCCAGGCGAGGAAGTCATGCTGCAAACACAGAGCAAGCAGGACAGTGAGTAACTGAGCCTGTGTCTCTCTGTCCTCTGTCTCTTCTGAGCAAGTATCAGACCTGCTTAACTCCCCAGGGCTCTTTCTGCCCTACAGCATGGTCTTTCTTCCCTGCACCCTCCTCCTTGTCCTGAGAGGTGATGGGAGGGGACCAGACCATCCCAGGTCTGTCTGTGCCTTAGGGTCCTGGAACACGGGGCTTTCTGGCACCTATGGCTCAGCCTGGAGCAGTAGTCTGTGCTCGGGGTCAGGTCCTGCTGTTCCCAGCAGGGCTGGGAGGAGACAGTGCCTCCAACACCCTCCTTGCAGTGATGGCTGCTGTGGAGGCTCCCAGCCACCTCAGCTCGTACCCAAATCCCTCCAGCATCCCCAAATTCCTCCCCAGCCACCTCTTCCCCTAATGCTACCTCTCACCTTGGGCTCCAGTTTACAGGAAGATGATCTTGTCCAACGTGGGCGACTCATTTTACATCCGGACACACTTTGACTTCGAGAAGGATGCGCCCTCGGGGCTCAGCTTTGTCCGTGGCGAGGTCTTCCACGTGCTGGACACCATGTACCGGGGCAAGCTGGGGAGCTGGCTGGCCGTGCGCATGGGCAGAGACCTGCAGGAGCTGGACAGGGGCATCATCCCCAATCAGAGCAGGTAGGGAAGGAGCCAGAAATGGCCCTGGGCTGAACAGAGGCAGGGAACGGCTCCTCAGTGATGCACAGGGACATGGATGATGGTCTGGCTAAGGTACAGGGCAAGGGCTGGTAGAACAGCAGTTGGAAGCATGAGCTGGTGAAATCCCTTCTCAGTGCCCAGAGGGGGATGGGACAGTTGATGCCCTGGTTGTCCGATCCACAGGGGAGAAGAGGCTGGCATAGCCTCATCTGGCCACTGGCAAGGCCAGGACCCCAATCCTCCTGCCCTGCTCCCTGGGCCTCAGAGAAATGCAGCAGGGGTAAATCCAGAGGCTCTGGGTCCTGAGCCCTCTCCCATCCCAGGGCCGAGCAGTTTGCCAGCTTGGAGTCAGTGCTGAAAGCCACATCTGGTGCCAATCCCTCCGGAGCACGTGCCGAGTTTTGGAAGCTGCGGGGTCTGCGGGGAGCCAAGAAAACGCTGCGAAAGAGCCGGGAGGACCTGTCTGCCCTCACGAAGCAGGGCCGCTATCCCCCATATGAGAGGGTGGTCCTGAAGGAAGGTGGGTGCTGCTCTAAGGCACCAGGGCCTCTATCCTCATCTCTCAGTGCTGTGGGTGCTGCGGGCATCTCACCCTGGGGATGTCAAACTTGGGCCAAGGGTTGCCTTGCTGCAGGTGCTAGCGGGCTTTGCTCACCTGGCAGGAGCAGGAGCGAGCCGCAGTCCCATGGGCACCTCAGGGTGGGCGCCTGGACATCTGAGTTCTGCAAACTCTGCCCTCTCCCCCAGCCTCCACAAGCCAGTCTATCTTCTCTCCACAGCCAATTTCAAGCGGCCGGTGGTGATTCTGGGCCCCATCACAGACATTGCCATGCAGAAGTTGAGCATGGAGTTGCCCCAGCTGTTTGAGATTGCCCGTAAGTGCCCCCACCCTGGAGTGACTCCTATTCAGAGGCTGGAGCCTCAATGTCAGGGCCTGTGGGTGCTTCTTTACCCAGGGCCCCGTCCCTATCTTTCTTGATTGTCCCCTCCCAACAACCCATCACCCTCCTGGGTTCACTTTCCCTTTCCCCACACCTCATGCTATAAGCCAGGCCCCAGACATCCCAATGGATGGACACAGCCTCAGGAATGAGCATGGCCAGACTCAGCCTGGGGCCACAGGGGACATTGCGTCTTCCCCAGCCCCTCATGCCACATCTCCTTATCCCGCAGAGAGTGTGCCCCGAGATGGGGCATCGTCTAAGGTCATCAAGTTGGACTCAGTGCGGCAGATTGCAGAAAAGGTGAGAGCCTGGGAGACCTTCACTGTGTTCTGGAAGGTGGATGGGCC